CTCTTTTCCTTTTAGTTTCTCTCTTTTCCTCCCTTATTTCCTTCTTTCCTTGCAGTTGAGATTCAGTAGTGACTTGCCCAGGTAAGAAGGTGGCAGAGTCTGACCTCTGGGGGCACCTCTGCCTCTCTCTGGTTTGGACATGTGGCCCCAGCACTGGTTGAGTGAGGTGCTGCCGCTCAGGTGGTCTGTGGCTGCCCTCCCTGCACACAGGTGTGTTCTGTCTCCATGCTGCTGCACCAGTTCCTGCTTTCCCTTGTGCTGGACAGCTGGGTGAAGATTCCCGCCTTGCGGAACTTAAAGTCTGGGGCAACACACAGAGCAGGTGACCAACACAGTCACTGCATGTTGTGGTAAGTTTTCGGAAGGAGATTGTACAAGGACCAGGAGACCTGCTGTAGATGAAGTCGGGACTGGCAAGGTGGAAAGCAGCTGGCTCTGGTAAGCAGGGACAAGAGTGCTCCCAGAAGAGCAGGGGGAGATTGGACAGATGTTAGGCATAGAGCAGAGCCAGGGGCTGGTGCGGCACAGGTGGGGTTGGTATGGTGGCTTCTTGTCTGGGGCCTGCAGGGCCTTCTTAGGGACATAGAGGTGTTTTTTTTTTTTTTTTTTTTTTTTTCCCCTTAGAGAGATTTTTGGTATAGTGCATGTGTGCTCGCTGGAGGGACAGAGGCAGAGTGACAGAAAGTGAATAATCACCCCCCCCGGGGGATGGCCACGCCGCGATCCCTTCTTCTTTCTCCTATCAGGATTTTGGGCATGCACACACACAGGCACAGTGTGAGGGTTTTTGTTGTTGTTGTTTTGTTTTGTTAGTAAACAACACAGTTTATTTTTATTTATTTTTTTAAAGAATTATTTTATTCAACTTTATTTTAATTTGACCAGCAAGGGACTATGAGAGAGAGAGAGAGAGAGAGAGAGAGAGAGAGAGAGAGAAAGCGCGCCCCCAGGTCTGGGACTTGCACCATGGTTGGCCATATGGGAGTTTAATGCCCTTAACTACCATGTCACCTGCTGGCCTCAGGCCCCCAGTGTAAGTTTTAAGCTGCTGGTTCCAGGACTCAAACCACAGTTGACTACATGGGAGTCCAGCAATGCAACCATTACACAAGATTTTACTTTTAGAACCACGGATGTCACAGGGGCCTTTCCATGTGGCTGTGACTTCATTGCTGCATTTGAGTGAGGACAGCCCGGTAGGGGCTACCTCTGAAAGGGGTGGATCTGCCATGGTCTCAGTCTTGTAGATGACAGATAGATGACTGAGGGCCCGGTTGCTTTGTGTCAGACGTATGGGGAGAGGCCCAGGAAGCCGGGTATTGTGACAGTGTGTAATGGTAGTGGTGACGATGGCTGTCCTTTAAGATGTAGCCCGAGTCAGGCTTGATAGGTGGTGTGGTAAAGGTGCTGGATTCCCACATGGCCGATTGCGGTTCGAGTCCTGGACCTGGCATTTTGCTTTCTCACTCCCCCCCTCCTCCCACTCTGTCTCTCTCTGGTCAAATTTAACTAAATAAATAAGTAAATAAATAAAGTTAAATAAAGACAATTCTTTTAAAAAAAAAGATGTAGTCCAAGTCAGCACTGCCCGAGCGGCACCTTTTCTGCCGGGGACAGCTGTGCAGTTGCTACCACTGCCCCGGGCTGGCTGCAGACATGCTGCTTTCAGTATCTGGCTGTCACCCAGCGGTAGGCTGGCATGTGTCTTGGCATGGATTGATTCTGACTGTTGCCCTTACTTTACACGTAGTAGAGGGAGATGGTGCCCCCAGAGGTCAGGAAGATTAAATAAAGCCTTAGTAAAATGTATGTCATGGGAACTGAAAATGTGTCTGACATTAAGGTTGTCAAACAGCTTATGCAAATACCTCTTAAAGCTCTCTCTGGCCAGCATGTCAGAGAGGAGAATTTCCCATTGAAAGTCTCGCGTGTGACTGTCAGTAACCCTCACGGTGCTGTTTCTGCATGGTAACGGACGGCCTGGTACCTCTGACTGCCAGGGGAGGCTGGTGGTGAGTTCCCACGCATGGTGGTGTTGCTGACGACCTGGCCTGGGTGCAGCCTCTGCAGCCTTCAGGGGTGGCCTAGGGCCTGGGCTGTTTGGATTTTTCTTTCTCAGATGTACAGAATGAGGCCCAGGAAAGCCTTAAGGTGACCATTTGTCATCCTCCATGCTTGTCCTCCTGTGGAGGTTGATATTCTTACATTCCTGTTTTTATTTTATTTATTGTTTTTTTTTTTTTTTGAGAGGTTTTTGCCATAGAGCGTGTGAAAGACAGAGAGAGAGAGACAGAAATTGAAATCACCCCCCAGGGGGCATGGCCATGCTGTAATCCCTTCTCCATTCTGCCCTCGGGAGTTTTGGCGCGCACACGCACGTGCTCAGCATGAGTTTAAGTCACCAGGTCCGGGACTCAAACCACGGTCGACTACGTGGGAGTCCAGTGACATAGCCTTTACGCTAACTGCTGGTCCCTTACATTCCTGTTTTCAAGAGGAGGAAACTGAGGTGATCTCCCAGTCAAGGTGGGTGAGTGGAGGTGTGACTGCACAGCCACGCTTATCTCTAACCAGTGCTCTGTTACCTCTTTGACCTCATGTTCCAGAGGGTGACTTAGAAAGTGTCTTGGAGAACGTTGGGTGGGATTCTGCTCTCAAACCAGCACAGGCTGCTTTGCAGTCAGTGAGGTTCCAAGGTGAGTTCCCGCCTGTCTCTCTCCTTTAGCTTTCTGAGTTGGAAGTAGTTCAGACTGGTCTTTAGAGCTTCGTGCTCTTCCTTGGTAATCATGACCGAAGCGGGCCATGGGCTCCAGGTCAGAATTGGAGGGCCTTCCCTTCCCAGGTTCTTAGAGTAGCAGTCACACGGTGTTTTTAAATTTTTAAAATTTGTTATTATTTCTTATTTTTAAAATGTTATCAGAGTGTACATGTGTTTTCTGGAGAGAGGTAGCAGCCCCCATGGAGAATGGTCACTCTGCAATCTCTTCATTTCTCCCTCCTTTCAGGATTTTTGGGCACACTTGTATACATGCCTGACCTATTTCTCAAGCTGCTGTGTCCAGAATTTGAACTGCTCAGCCAGCCATGTGGGATTTATCAGCTTTAAGGACCAGGCCATGGGTTGACCCAAGTAGCAATCACATTGTAACAAAGTCTGCAGAAGTGTTTACTGGGAGGTCGTCTGTGGCTGAGGTTGAGTAACGCTTCCTATTTCACTGTATCCTGGTGGCTGTGTATCAAGGGGCCCTTTGATTTTACCATTCAGCTCTCAGGAAAAGTGGGATTTGGTCACTTATCCCAGTCTGGGATAGCCGAGCAGGTGGCTCAAACCTCCATTGGTGGTCAGAGCTACTCCAGCTCATCCTCGGCCCACTGTCTTGGTTTGTCTTCTCTTGATACCCAGGGAAGTGGGGTGGGTGGAGGGAGGAGTGTAGAACAGTCCTTAAAGTTCCTGGAAAAACCTACACCCTTCAGTTTTGGTGTTACTGACATGGAGACTGTAGCAATGTAGTTGTGATGCCAAAGCTGCCGAGTTGCTCAGGGAACCTGCTTGTCTCCAGCTGCTATGCCCAATGTGAACAGCAGAGGGCAATGGTGCCTCAGGAACGAGTTCATCTTGGAGCACCACTCAGCAGCCTCTTCCATAGTGTGCATTTTCCTATCTCCTTGACATCTAGAATAGAGAAAAATAGGTTTTTTTTTTAGAGATTAGTAAACTATAGAGAATTTCCCTAAACCATGTGTGTGTGTCCGTGTGTACATACATGATTACTTACGCACACAGAAATGGAGAGGGTTCCCATTCATAAGCAGGAGGTAGTGGTTGTGTGATCGCATCTGGCTGAATAATTGGTCTGCCTGTACACCTGCAGAAATAAAACTCAACAAATTACCAATTGCCCTTTCTAGAGGTGATTTCTGGTTTTACTAGTTGCCTGTCTTTTTCCAGTGTTACCCATGCTCACTGGCTTGGGGAGTGATCCGATGTGAGGTCAGTGAGCCGCCAGGAGCAGGGGCCATATCTGGAACTACGGTGGCTTTCCAGCTATACATGGGCTCATGAGCGAGTTCTCTGGGTTTATTCGTGCTGTCTGCGTAGTGTGTAGCCCTGAGAGAAAACACCCTTTGATTACTTCGTAAAAACATTGTCCTGAAAAAAGACTTGGAACTCAGAAGACTTTTCTTGAACCTCAGTAGGCATGTGTGTGTGTGTGTGTGTGTGTGTGTGTGTTTTCTGTAAATGATGAATTTTTTGCATCAGGCCCACTTTTCCCTTGTGGCCTCTGCTCCTCTGCACTGCCTGGTGAGACTCAGGTGAGCGGCCCCAAGGCCTCTCTTAGCTCCAAGCTCATGCTTCTTTGTTCTCCTCTGAGACCTGCCCTGGTGGAGAAGAATTGCCTCTCACTCCCCTGAGACGGTTAATAATTCATTCAACCTTGAAAAAAGTGTCTTTTAAAAAACAATTCTGGAGACCAAAGTACTGTGCAATTTCTACATTATCTAACTTGAGATGGACATCATTCTCTCTAAGGTTCTTAACTAAGCACAGCCCAGCCTTTCATGGCAGGCTCATTTTCCTCCTTTTTTCTTTAATTTGAAGAGGGTTCCTGGGCGGGAATCCCAGTGGTTCCTGATAG